TTTTCTTTCTGTATTTTTTTTTTTAGTTTTGTTTAGTTCTTTGTTTTCTTCTTTTTTTTTTTTCTTTTTTTTTGCTTTTTGTTCCCTTGTTCTTTCTTTTAGCAATGGGAAGAATTTGTTAAAATTAGGGCAGGATGCATGGTCATGTTTTTAGCTGATGCCTGTTACAGCCGTACACAGCGTACCAGTGCGGGGAAACTAACGCTTCGTCCGTGCTGAGGAAACCGAGCGCTTGCAATGTCTGCTCTGCGGCGGGCCCGGCCCTGGCCCCGGACGTCGTCGGCCGGTGCAGTAGCAGCGTTCCTAGGCGGCTTACCAATGAAGTGGCGCTCAGGCCCGGGTGGCTTCGCTTAAAGAGCAAAAAGTTCATGCCCGAGGCTCTGGGCCACGCGGCTTTGAGACGAAGGGTGTTGGCCAGGCCGCGGGAGCTGGGGGCGGGGGGCATGGCCCGTCTCCTGGGGCCGCCGGGGTCCCTGGCCACCCTGGGGCACTCCGGGCGTCACTCCCGTGTCTGCCCCTGTGTTGACGGTGCGGCTGTGTCAGGTTTTCCGTCTTCTCCTGAGGACCCTCCCAGCCCCAGCAGGACGCTGTCCCAACTTGAGCTCAGCTGCAAAGACACCGAGTTTCCGGCACGCTTACACTGCCAGGCTCTGGGGGGGCGTGAGTCTGGGGGTGCGTGGCTCAGTCGTCAGCATCTGCGCCTCCCTCCCTTCCCTCCCCTGCAGACGCGGAGCTTGCCCCCCAACCCCCCGACACACACGCGGCGCTTCACTCAAGTTTCTCTCGGCTTTCCCGCCTTGGCCGCCAGCTTGCTTGGGGGCGCCACGGCCCTGTCCCTGCTGTCCTGGCTTGCCGGGCACCCGTGCGCGGGGCAGGCTGGCCAGGAGCCTTCCCCTCCCGCCCCGGCCGGTCTGCAGTGGCCGTGAAGTCCAACCTCATCCCGCCAGGAGCATTTCTCGTGGTTGCTCCTGCGAGGACCAGGCTCCCAGGGCCTGGGCGGACACGGCCACCTCTCTGAGCCACCTGTGCCCTAGCGGCTCGTCTTCCTCTTATACTCTGTGAACTAAAATACAATTTTAAGGCTCACCCGTCCCACACACTGGCTGACTGAATGGACCCCCTTGTGGCCAAAGGAATATCCTAAATCTAAGTTGCCTGCCAGGAGGAAGGAGGTGAGACAAGCCTCATCATGCCCGACTCCCTCTTCTGGGGCATCCTTTGTAACCCTTTAACAAGCCTAAGGGTATGCAAGACAAACCTGCAAGTCCTCAGTTTACACAACAAACCTATGTCCAGTGGCTTGTCTCTGATAAACAGCTCCTTATGTTAAAACATTCCAAGCCTTTAGAAAAAGCATCAGGTCTTTAACCACTTATGAGCCAAAGGATCTTTAAACCCACCTACAACCTGTAAGCCCCCCCCTTTGAGATCTCCCGCCTTTTTGGGCCAAACCAATGTAAGCCTCCCACGTATTGATCCATGACTTTCCCTGTAACCCCTGTCTCCCTGAAATGTATAAAACCGAACTGTGACCTACCACAACCAGTCCACCTGCGCAAGGCTTCCTGGGCGTGGCTCTGGGTCGTGGTCCTCAAATTTGGCTCAGAGTAAATAAATCTCTTTAAAATTATTTTCTGTTGACAACTCTGTTACTTCCCACTGCGAGACGTTTTCTCACGTAGGGCGCTCTATCCAGGGGCCGTGTCCTGGCGGCCCACCTCTGCCTCCCCCAGGAAGCCTTCCCTGATGCGCACGGCTGGACGATGTTAAGGAAGAATTTTTTTTCTTCTCTGCACCCAGTGTGGCCCGTGCTGAGTTTATTTGGCCCAGTGACACACGGAGGGTCCCCACTCACGGCTCCTTCTCCTCCCGACTATGAGGCGGCATCACTGCTTCCCTCACCCCGCACAGCCCCGAAACGCTCGGCAGTGGCCGTGCCGGGCCTCAAGCCTTGCTGGGCAGCTGCGTGTCGCGTGCACTAAGAACACAGACGTGAGCACAGGCGTGTTTCGTATCCCCGCGGGAGCACCCGACCCCGGCCTTCCTGTCTAACCTCGGAAGACCCAGCCCACGGACAAGGAGAGGTAACTGATGACTTGATAATTATCCACTTAAAATTCTTTAAGGGAAACTGGGTTGTACCTCATTTTATTTTTGAAATTGAGAAATCATCAATCTACGTAAACATCAACCTATTTACATAAACCTGACTCCAGCCTGTTAAATCCAAATGGTGGATTTAGCCATCTCGATGTCCCGAGATCAGTGCGTTCACCAAGTGGCGCGGACAGTTGCCGCAGGGAGAGAGCGTCGGTGTGCAGACCTGCACCTGCCCCTGCCCGCACGTCCCTGCGGGAGACCCAGGGGCTAGGCGCGGCAGGGCTGCTGTCCCTCTGCCCCAGGCCCCGTCCAACTCCGATCCAGGCACAGGGTTGCTGGGGCCCTCCCATTGCTTCCCTGCTAGATGCAAGGGGGCTGAGAGCCAGCTCCACACCTGTCCTTGTTAATGTTCTTTAGCAGGACGGAGGGCCGGGGACATTTGCCCACACATCCCAACTTGGGGACATTGGCCCCTCCCCCATCCACTGTCCACCCCTACCTGACCTGGGGACATTGGCCCCTCCCCCATCCACTGTCCACCCCTACCTGACCTGGGGACATATGGCCCCTCCCCAATCCACCGTCCACCCCGAACTGATCTGGGGACATAGAGCCCCTCCCCCATCCACTGTCCACCCTGACCTGGGGACATATGGCCCCTCCCCTGTCCACTGTCCACCCTGACCTGGGGACATATGGCCCCTCCCCCATCCACTGTCCACCCTGACCTGGGGACATATGGCCCCTCCCCCATCCACTGTCCACCCTGACCTGGGGACATATGGCCCCTCCCCCGTCCACTGTCCACTCTGGCTTTGACTCTGGCCCAGGCGGCTGGGGGCTGCTGCCACTCCCTCACCTCTCTGCAGTCGCGTTCTGAGCGGCCCTGGCATGAGGCCGTCCCTACAGTTGACACCTAAAGACTCTGATCATGGCTGCTCCTCGCCCCTGGGAAAGTGTGGGTCACGTGGCCGTGGCCAGGTAGTGGCCAACTGCAGGGCGTGTCCTTCTGGGGACCCCAGTGAGCAGAGGAAGTAGGTTGGGAATTAAAATCCATTCTCCCGAGCTGTGGAACCCCCTGTCAGTCTTCTCACTGCCTGACATGTTTCCTTTTAGGTTGAATATTATATTTTGCACAAGGCAAAATCAATTCATTCAATAGAATAACTTCCTCAATACCCAGACTAATCGTTTATACCCACTGATTTATTTCATGTCTTACTGATTTTCACTGACTTGGTTTAGAAAGACCAGTATCAGATTGGGTAATTTGAAACATGTTTACAGCACAGAACTTGCATTTTTTTTCTCTTAAGAAAATGGGGAGTTCCAGCCAATCTTGCTAGTTTTATTTATAGCACTTTATTTCCTGAAAGAAGACAGGAAAAGTGAGTCCCTGCCTCCCCTCTCCGCCTGTCTCCTTCCCGCCCAGTCTGGCAGGGTCCGGCTCAGAGGGCTGGGCTTGGACCCCGGCTCCAGGTACCCGGACGAATGGTGAGATCAGAAGAAGGGATTGTGTCACTGCTTCGAAGGAATGAATTAAACCAGCTTCCTGGCCGGTCTGATTGACAGCTCTCTGCAGGAGAAAGTGCATATAAAGCAGCCGCAGCAGCAGCCGCCGGAGCCAGGGAGGCCACGTCCGCCGGCGTCCTGCTTGGAGGGGCCGGCTGCTCCTCCGCCCAGCACATCTGCACCCTTGCTGGGCTCGCTCGGGACGTTCCGGTCCCTCGTCATCGCCTCTTTCCACACAGCAGGTAAGATCGTTCTTAACTTTGCCAAAGCTTTTCACGGCACTGTGATTCTCAGAAAGAGTTCTTGATTCCTAAGAGGGGGGGGGAAGGAAAAAAGTACGACAGATTCTTGACTGGGGGTGAGTGACTTGCACATAAACACCAAACAGCAAAGGGGGTGAACGGTCTTCTCGTGGCATTTTTACCGCTTAGCTGAACGACCGAGGCAAGTGAGCTCGTGGCAGGCGTTTATTTTCGGTGGCGGCGGCACCACCTTGCCTGGCACTCCTGCCACCTCCGTGACCGCCGCTGTCCCAGTGCAGGTACCTGCCCCCGGAACGGCCGGGCAGATGCTCGAGTTTTCGTCTTCGGAATAAACGGTTTCCACATGCGGGTTTGCTCTTGAGGAGGGATCCTGAGAGAAGACCGAGCAACAATTTCCTGAGAGTGTGAAAAATAACCAGAGACTATAGAAACTCTGACACCAAGCATTGTGAATAGTCGAGAAAGTGTTTTGTGACTGCTACTAGCAAGCAGTTTACGGCAAGCCTATGAACAAACAGCAGGGAGACAGCCAGGGAACAGCTATTTCAAAAAGTTTTTGGGGTAATTTGCGTATGAAAAGCAAGCCAGCAGTTTGCATTGCTGCCACTAAAGCAAAGTGGGTTTGAAGCCAACCCAGGGAAGGCTGAGGCGGTTCCGGTAGCTCAACGCTCCGATCTTGACGGAGAAATAACCGTCTCTCGGCAAAGTCACCCTTTCTCCTGGCTGCTCTTGTGAGAAACAATATTAAGAGACCTTTAGAAAATTCAAACTGCGTTCTGTTGCAGAGCAGCACCGGGAGTCTTTCTTTTCGGAAAATCTAGCCATAAATGCGCAATATAAGTGAGGGGAAACCGAGAGGTGGCTGTGGGTTTGCTGACGCGGTTTCCTCGTCCCCTGGCCCCGGGTGCGAGGAGGCTGCCGTGTGGAGGCCGCCCAGCCCCGACCCACTCATTCATTCTCGTTTTTTCCGTGTCGCCATGCCATGCGGTGGGGTGGGCGCCTCGCCCCGGCCCGTCTGACACCTGGCAGGCTGCCGGCACCTTTGTCACGCTCCCGCCGTGTTAGGGTCCCCGCGTCGAGTCCCAGACAGGGCGGCAGGATTTGGTCTTGTCACAGTGGAGTTACGTCTTCTGTTTGAGCCTGTGCTCGTGACGCCGGACGTCGGAGCTGCGGCTCTCGTTGTTCCGGAGGGAGCCGTCCCCTGCGGAGGGGCTGCCACTCACTGTCTCCAGGACAGGCCACCTGCAGGGCGGCAGGCCGGGACGGCCGTGCCCACGCTTGGCCGGGTGGGAGGAGGCAGGGGGAGCCCTCGGCTGTCTGCCGGCGGCTGGTCACTCCACAGCCACTCTGCCGTGCTCACTGGGCCGGGGCGTGCTCCGTGCTCCTGTCCTCCTAGGAGCTCTGTCCAGGGGCTCTGGCAACAGCACGCTGGTGTCCCTGTGGCCGCCTTGGACAGCTGGAGTGGGGAACGTTCCGGTCGCATGGCGCAGACCGCGCACCGACCCAAGGCCTGCGGGCTCGCTGAGCTGAAGCACATCCACGTGAATGCTCACGTGCTTAATGTAGTTCTCATAACCACCGGGAGGTAGATATTTTCAACGACTGTTTTCTTCATTGTGCAGATGAGGAAACTGAGGCAGAGAGGTTAAATGATGCGCCTGGGGTTGCTTGGTGGAGGCCAGACGGTGTGGGCGTGGGCCCCCTGGGGCTGCCCCCCTGCCGGCCACCTCCTGCACCCCGAGGGCTGGGAGCAACCGGTGCTGACCCCTGTACAGCGCGGCGCGGGGCAGGCCCGGCGTCCAGAGGGCCCTGGGCTGCGGCCAGGCTGGCCGGCCCCTCTGGGGAGTGATGCTCCATTCCTGGAAGGTGACTGTTCACCAAGTGTTTCTGGACAGGGAGTTTCCCTGCGTTTCTTTAACAACGAGAACCGAATGAGCTTTGATATTTTACATGTGAGGAATCAGGGGCTTGGTGCGAGCTTCGACTTGGAGAGGGACGTGAACGCAGGGTGCAAGGGGTCTCGGAGCCGCGACGGCCCCACAGCTGGTCGGGGGACGCAGGAGCTGTGACCCGCAGGGGTTAACGTGGGCCTGGGCTTGCGGCCAGGTCTCCTGACTGCTGGCCCAGCCCCCTCGAGCCCGGCCAAGTCAGAACCCTCAAGATGGAAAAATAGGCCTAAAGGAAAACAGAGAAGCTGGGCAAAGACAATTGCTAAGCAAAATGTCCCGTTTTTTTGTAAGCATGGTGCCCTAAATTAAGAAGTTTATTTCTTTCATATACAGTTAATACTTACTCTATTTAATTAAGTTGTGCATAACTGTTTTTTCTCTTGGATGTGTGCACAAAATGCCTTCACAGATTATCCTTGCCAGCCTGGGTATTTTTTTTTTTTTTTTTTATAAAAAAAATTTATTCAGGCTTCCTGGAACTGAGTCCTGGCTGCACTTCTTAGCAGAATTACTCTGGGTGAGCACTGCCCTTCCTCTCCTGCATTTGCTTGTCTGCAGAATGGGCGCAATAGCAGTGGCGCCACGGATATTTGGGATGTGATCAAGCACAGCGCTGTTGATGTATACCAGCCCGATACATATCAGCTGCAGCTGGAAGAGTCCTGTTTGGAAAGCAAATTTCTTATCTAGCTTTTAGCTTCCCACGAATCCATTTATTTGCTAACTTTTGCAAGCAAATTGTTTTTACACAGTCGTATGAATAAACACTCCAGGCAACGACCAGAGTTGCAGCTGGGTGTTCACAACTGTCACGGGTTTCACTTATTCCTAGGGGTCCGACCGCAGGAGGCAGGATGCTCTGGGGGCTGGTGCTGGTGTCTCTGTGGGCGTGGCCCAGTGCTCAAGGTGAGTGTCTACGAAGCCCGGGGTCCCCTGGCCTCGTGGGAGGTGGCTCAGCCACAGATGGCAGAAGTGCAGTAAAATGGGTGGCTGGAGAATTCCACCTGCTTGGACCTTCTCCACTCCTTTGCAAATAAGATATATGTTTACTTTTGAATCAATATCACAGGAAGCAATATATCTTTGGATAATTCAGGCATTGGAGAACCTAGGGATGCAACATTTTGCTGTGCAAAGTTTAGCTTTCTCTCCCCTATATGTTATATTTGCAGCACTGCATGTATTTTGTGTTTGATAACTTCTTTTCCCCCTTTTTTTCTACTGAGGACACACGTCATAGTAAATATTGCCCATGTGTTTTATCTTCCCACGAGGTGATTTTAACAGATGCATAGTATTCCACCACAGAGGCTAACTAGTGTGCTTAGACGCGTTCCTGTCAGATTGCTCCTCTATCTTCATTGGTATAAATGAGGACACAGGGATACCGACCGCTGTGGATAAGCCTTGACTAGCATCTGTGACTACACCTTGCATGAAATATGAAGATGGAAATGCTCAGTCAGAGGTTTTAATTCTCTTTATTATTGCCAAACAGCTCCACTGAAAGTGGTGTGATTCACTCTTCCATCAGCCACACTTTATTACAGTGTTTTAATTTGGTTCGTGCTGGATGGCAAGTATGCTTTGTTTAAGCTTTCTGGTCATTTTATATATATATATATATATATATATATATATATATATACACATATATATTTTACATTTAAATTATTATTTTTATATCATATATCTTTCCATTCAGAAATTTAAAGTAGCATTAAATTATAAATCTAAACATGCACATGCAATATGAAAACATCATCGGAACTGAATTACTGTTAAACTAAAAAGCTAAATCGTTCAAAAGTTTCTAAATATTGAAATAACAATCATTGACCATTCATTTATTACAGTATCATATTTTTGCCAATAGAATCATGTTAATCATGCTATGAAAATTATACACAGTGGTTAAAATGGTCTAGAATCATTAGGTAATTCAATAATTGAAAGTTGCCCTTTTATAATTTTGGTGAAGTCTGATAACTTCTCTTGCCAATAGTTTATACGGTGACTTAAAACGATTCATTCATAGACTAGAGACCAGTCCCTCTCTCCACAGCGCGCACATGAGCTGGAGAACACATTGTTACAAAAGAACAAGATGCTGACATAATTTGTTGAAGACAGAGGATTGCAATAAGAAAGCAATGTAAAATTCAGTTGCTTTCTGGAACTCCATCCATAGCTAGGCTGAAGGTCCATTTCTCTTCTAGTTTTTTTGTTTGTTTCCCCATTTTTTTTCCTGATCACTGAAATGGCAGAGAGGAGAGAGAGGCTGAGCCCAGCTCCAGGTCCGGGATGGAAGAGCTGGGGAGGGCGGCCTCCAGTCCCGACCTGGCGCTTGTGCCAGACCCCGCGTCCATGCCTGGCCTCCCCACAGGAGGGCTCTTGGGGCGGCGACGGCCACCTGCGTCCCCACACCTGCGCCCCTGCACCTGGGTACCCGCGCGGAGGTTGCCTCCTGGCCCCGCCTGCCGGGCCGGGACGCACGCGGTGAAGACGCTCCCTGGCGCGGGGCGGGTGGCCTCGCAGCGGCAGCGCGCGCTCTTGCGCCGCAGGGAGAGGCGGCGGGCAGCCCAGTCCGCGTGTAACCCGCTGTTGTCGCGCAGCCGCCGGCCAGGACGAGGACACCTCCTTCGACCTGCTCAGCCTCAGCAACATCAACCGCAAGACCATCGGCGCCAAGCAGTTCCGCGGCCCCGACCCCGTCGCGCCCGCCTTCCGCTTCGTGCGCTTCGACCACCTGCCGCCCGTGGGCGCCGACGCGCTGCGCAGGATCGCGGCGCTGTCGCGGCGGCGCGACGGCTTCTTCCTCTCGGCGCAGCTGCGGCAGGACCGCAAGACCCGCGGCACGCTGCTGGCGCTGGACGGCCCCGGCGAGGCGCAGCGGCAGTTCGAGATCGTCTCCAACGGCCCGGCCGACACCCTGGACCTCGCCTACTGGGCCGATGGCGCGCGGCACGTGCTGTCCCTGGAGGACGTGGGCCTGGCCGACTCGCGCTGGAAGAACGTCACGGTGCAGGTGGCCGGCGAGACCTACAGCCTGTACGTGGGCTGCGACCTCATCGACAGCTTCGCGCTGGACGAGCCGTTCTACGAGCACCTGCAGCCCGAGCGCAGCAGGATGTACGTGGCCAAGGGCGCTGCCCGGGACAGCCACTTCAGGGTACGGCGCGTGCGCGGGGCTGCGGGGGGCGGTGTGTGTGTGTGTCTGGGGTCTGCGCGAGGAGGTGCGCTGCATGTACACACGCACATGTTTGCACACACACAACCCTCAAACAGGTACACCAGATCACACACACACACACATACATGTGCACACTTGTGCATGTGCACATGGATGCACACACGTGTGCACACACATGCGCACACCCACCCACCCATGTGCATACACACATCTATGTGCACACACATGCACACACCCATCTATGTGCTCATACATGCACACACACCCATCTGTGTGCACACACACCCATCTATGTGCACACACATGCACACACCCATGTGCATGCATGCACACACCCAAACATTTGCGCACACACACACACCCATGAGCACACACATGCACACACCCATCCATGTGCACACACAGCACACACACCCATGTGTACACACGCACACACCCACCCATGAGCACACACACGCACACACCCATGTGCACACACATGCACACACCCATACATGTGCACACAGCACACACACCCATGTGCATACACACACACCCACACATATGCACACACAGCACATACACCCATGTGTACACGCACACACACATACCCATGAGCACACGCATGCACACACCCATGTGCACACACAGCACACACACAGCCATCCATGTGCACACAGCACACACCTACCCAGGTGCACACACATACATACACACCCATGTGCACACACAACACACATCTACCCATGTGCACACACATGCACACACACCCCATACATATACATGCACCAAACCACACATGCACACTTATGCATACACTTGCATAGATGCACATACTCACAATCCACTCACACACATGCATACACACATACATACACACGCACGGGCACGCATGCATGCATACAGATGCACAGTCACACACACACTTTTGCACATACAGCCACATCTTCACATGCACACTAATGCCACACACACATGCACATGACATATGCACACTTTCCTAAGCTGTGAATAAGCAGAGAAAGTTCCCACAGGTGAACTTTCGCACCTGCCCTGACGGTCACCGACTGAGATGGAGGCGTCAACCCCGCCCACGTTACTGGGGACTCCAGACTCGCTGTCATAGCTGCGGCCACTCCTAAACCTCTTTTGGGTAGCGAAGTGGTGGGAGACCAGAGTGATTAACCGGCCCTTTCCTAAGGAAAGCGCTATCCGTTTATGAGGGAAAAGTTTCATGTCCGTCTTAAGTAAAATACGCTTGGAACAAAATCTCTCTAAAAACACGGGCATTTAGAATCCACAGCGGTGCCTTGCTGCATTGCCCCTTCCAGACGTGTGCATATTCTTGGAAATAAACGCGCTTAAACTCAGTCACTTGAGTAACAGGCCCAGAGACGCACAGCTCGTTACTGGACTCATCTCTAGGGGGTGCAGGGAGCCCCGGGGTGTAGGTGACTGGCCCGGCCCACATAGGGTGGCTGACCCCTCACGAGGTGGAGGACACGTCTCAGATGGGGCCAGCGGACAGTCCTGAGCCTTTCAGCCGAATGCAACAGTGTCGCTGGCTGTGTCTGCAGACTGTTCAACAGGGACAGCCCCTCTGTGCCCCCACGAGCACGTCCAGACCACAAAACTGGCCACGTCCTCCCAGGGCTGCCCTTCTGCTCCAGGGAGCACTTTCTCCTGATAGTTGGTACATTTCCTATGTGAACCTCCCATTTCTTCTGTCATACGTGAAAACAAATTTCAAAAGTAACATATACAGAAAAACAGGTTATAAAGAGGTCTCAAGCCTGCCACACAGAAGAAAATATTCTGACTATTCGAAGATTGCATCTTGTATTTTTTAAGTGTCATTTATCTTGGCGTCGGATATTGGATGTTTGCCTGCTGCTCTAGTTTTGTCCTTGTGTGTATTCACAGGGTTTGCTTCAGAATGTCCACTTAGTCTTTGAGAATTCTGTGGAAGATGTTCTGAGCAAGAAAGGCTGTCAGCAAAGCCAGGGAGGTAGGTGTGCTTCGGACAATGCGTCCATGTCTCACTTCCCGTCTTAGGGTTTCTTTTTGACGTGGGGTGTGTGTGTGTGTGCGCGTGTGTGTACGCGTGTGTGTGTGTGTGTGCGTGTGTGTGCTAGTGAGTATGTAAGCAGGAATATTTGAATAAAGTGCCGTTATTGTCTGTGACGCGTCTATCCACTTAGACATGTTGATATCTGAAAATGATAAATTTCTTGAAGGATTAATTTTGCATACATTTTAATAATCCAAAAAATGTCATCACACAAGCCAAAAATAAATAGCTGGTACTTTAGCATGATTTTAAATGCAGGCAAGTTTTTCAGTATATTAACTGCAGCATAAGAAAGCATCATGAATATCTGTCAAACTTGATTTGTAGACGTTTCCTTACACTATTCAGAGTTGTCGATTTCATTGCATTATGAAAATCTACACCACTTAAGTTATTGAGGGATAATCTCACAGTGTCTGCTAGTTACAAATGTGGATTGTATTTACAACTGTACTTGGCTAGCATTTAGTTTATGAAGGTCACCATGCCAGGCTCTTAAAGTGCAGTATGTCGTTTAATGACTTAGCGACAGGCACGTTCATCTTCATTTTGCAAAGACAGAAACTGAGGCCCGAGGGCGGGGGGGGGTTGCACGAGGTGCCGAGTTTGCACCCTGCGAGCCGTGGGCAGCTCTTCCCCAGGTTTCGAGAAGTCCCGAGCAGGCTCTTACCTGCTCTTTGGTCTAGCGTGTGTCTCTGTTCATTGAGGCCACTTCACTTCAACTCTAAATTATGACGACAACAAACTTCCTTGGTGGGTCAGCGTGCAGGGTGTGTGGGACTTGGTGTCTCTGGTGCAGAGTCACTATGAGATCCAGCTGTGAGCTTCAGAAGCATGCACCGTGCATGTCCCGGTCACTCACTGTGTGCATCCCGTGAGCGCCAGTCACACGGAGCCTCCGGTCACCGTGGACACCCCTCGGGCTCGAGCGGGTTTCTCCCAGTGCCCGACTGAGCTGGCCCCTCTCACTCTAAGACTGCGCCCTTCAGCCTGTGGTCAGCGCAGGGCGGGCAGGAAGGGCGTGAGGCCATGGTGTTCAGAGGGCCGCGGGGCCAGGACAGATACGTCTTGTCTCTCTTGGATACGCCCCATCCCCGGCCTTCACTGGCCACGGCGGCTGTAGCTCAGGACCGAATCTCACCCCTGTCTCCCAGTTGCTGCTAAAATGCCACCTGACAGTCCCGTGGGGTCTTGCCTTGCCTTGCCTTGACTTGTCCTTGCCTTTTGGGTGTGGGCCACCAACAAAGCAAAGCATTCAGAAGAGGCGGGACAGCCTGTGACGTCAGAGACCGAGCCGTAGGGACAGGAGAGGAAGGGTGCTGGGGGTGCCCCCGGGCGGGGAGGAAGGACTCGAGTTTATTTGGAAGATGAAGGTGCGATCAATCGAGGGTCCGCTCTGCCGGATCAGAGGTTAAGACCTCGTGATGGAGAAGAAGGAAGGGACAGGTATCATTATCCATGGAAGGAGGACGGGAGTTCGGCTCAAATCCTAATCCCAGCTCTAACCTCAACCCTAACTGCCCACAAGTAGGCTCGGGACGGGGCTGAATGTCTGAATACGGCAGTTCAGTCCCCAGGGTTCCTGGGGTTCCTGGCGGTGGGACGCCTTTGCTCACTTTGCCTTTGCAACAATTTTGTAAATCTGTTACATTTTAGACACATACACATGCGTATGTGTGCATTTCCACCAATAGATACAAATATTGTTTCTATAAAGAGACGATGTGTCCCCAGTCGCAAATTTGCACCGTCATTAGACGTGGTTCGAGTTAAACTAGAGCCGGGCGGCCGACGGCCTGCGGGGTCAGTGGTCGTAAGGAGCAGGGTGTGCACCAGCTGCCATGACTGACAGGCCCACGGCTCCACGTGAGCAGCCCTGTGCGCTCGTGAGTTTCACCGACACGCACCGTCCTAGCAAGCGGGGCTTCCGCCAGTGGTCATGCCAGTGATCCCGGAACTGTTGGGAGCAAACGTTTGAAAGTTACAGGAAGCTCCCAGACCTTCTGAGAAAGCGGATCGGCACAGAAACCCAAGTGCTCCCTCAGGGAGCAAGGGGTCGCCGGGGCCCATCTGACGGCTGCCAAATTTCCGTAACAAGGCGGGCGGGTGGCTGCATGCCTGTTATCCGCGGCATGCACTCAGCGGAGGCCGAGGCGGGCGGATGCACTCCAAGGTCAGGAAGTTCGAGAAGCGCAGCTTTGACGCAATAGCGAGACCGCGCGCCGTTCTCTACTAGAGCGAAAGAAATAATTACATTGGCGCAACTAAAATATAGAAAAAAAAGCATTAGCTGGGGCATCGGTGCGTGCATGCCTGTCAAGTCGCCCAGCCTACTTGGCAGGCTGAGGGCGCCAAAGGAGGATCGCTTGAAGGGCGCAGGAAGTCTGAGTTGCTGTGAGCTACGGCTTGAACAAAGCCATAGGGCACTCAGTCTAGGCCCAGGGCACAGAGTGAGACTCTGTCTTAAAAAGCAAAAACAAAAATCTGCGCGATGTCAGGGCTCCTGCCCTTTGGCTACACCAGATGCAGAGAAAGTGGGTCCCATAGGAGCAGCGAGGGCGTGAGCTGGCGCTTGGGAGTGGCGTGGCCTTTTATACTGTTCATTAAAGGTGGGAGCAGCCTCAAGGAGGGCCGGATGTCCCTGTGGCACTCGGGGAGTGTTGGCGGAAGCCGGGACCCGCAGGCCAGGAATGGCTGCTGTCGGGTCAAACCAGGCTCACGGCAGGGGCAGATGAGTAGACAGACATATATGCACTGTTGTCTGCTTAACGAGCAAAGGAACGAAAACAAACGTCCTGGATAAGTTAAAGATTATTTTTAAACACATGAAAGTAAATACAGTGAGTAAAATCCACTTAGAATCCATTCAAGCTAGCTCCCTCATATATGTGTGTGTGTGTGTGTGTGTGTGTGTGTATATACACACACATATATACATGCAGCTGTTAGCATGTTGGTATTTATGTGGTTGCACAAGGTCAGAGACATACGGATTTGAGGGAAGCTTCTAAGCTTAGTGTGAATGCAACAGGGCTTCTAACCGAGTAACAGAAGCTCAATGGTGGGATGCCTGGCAGAACTGTGAGATTTAGAATAATTCAGCAGCAACGGAATGTCTGAGAGGAAAAAAATAAAGCATGTAAACTACGTGACAGTCACCTGGAGAGGAAGCCGGGCCCTGGGTGAGAATAGCCAGGAGCCCCTGCCCGGCCGGCCCCAGTGGCTCGGGGGCTGTGGAGGCTCCCGTGTCAGCCCGTGACCTGTAGATCTGCCCGCGAGTCCGTGAACTGGGGCGTCAGGCAGCCTGTGGGCTTCTGGGTCCCCGAAGGCGGCCTCCCCGCAGTGGTGTCCGTCCTGCCCCCAGGAGGGGGCCCTGGCGGATGGGGGGGGACGTGGGGTCTGCAGGAGCTCGTCCGTCCCTTAGCGCACGAGGACGGCTGGGCTTGCTCCGATGGAGGACAAGGAGCCACCACGGGAAAGGGCGTTCGGGATGGAAGGCGCAAGCCGTGAAGAGTGGGCAATACGGTGCGCTCTTGGAGGGACAGATGGGGCTGGGGCTGGCAGGAAGGGGCCGGTAGGAGCCAGAGAGCTGCTGCCCCCCCAGTGGGACTGAGGTGCCTGGCGCGTGACCTCGAGCACGCTCTGACACAGGTGCGCTTCCTGACACACATGTATGTCCTGACACAGGAGCATGTCCTGACACAGGTGTGCCTCCTGACACAAGTGCATGTCCTGACACAGGTGCGCTTCCTGACACACATGTATGTCCTGACACAGGTGCATGTCCTGACACAGGTTCGCGCCCTGACACAGGTGCATGTCCTGACACAGGTGTGCCTCCTGACACAGGTGCATGTCCTGACACAGGTTCACGCCCTGACACAGGTGCGTGCCCTGACACAGGTGCACGTCCTGACACAGGTGCACGTCCTGACACACATGTATGTCCTGACACAGGAGCATGTCCTGACACAGGTGTGCCTCCTGACACAGGTGCATGTCCTGACACAAGTTCGTGCCCTGACACAGGTTCTCGCCCTGACACAGGTGCATGTCCTGACACAGGTGTGCTTCCTGACACAGGTGCGCGTCCTGACACAGGTGCGCTTCCTGACACAGGTGCGCGTCCTGACACAGGTGCGCGTCCTGACACAGGTGCGCTTCCTGACACAGGTGCGCGTCCTGACACAGGTGCGCGTCCTGACACAGGTGCGCTTCCTGACACAGGTGCGCGTCCTGACACAGGTGCGCTTCCTGACACAGGTGCGCGTCCTGACACAGGTGCACGCCCTGTCCCTAAGCCAGACCCCTGCCCGCTCCTCTTTGAGAGCCGGGTCTCAGCTGGAAACCGCTGCCTGCAGCCCTCTCGCTGTTCTTGGGTCTCGGGTAGCGCCAGGCCACGCAGGAGCCGCTGCGCGGGTCAGCCCCTCGCCAGGGGCACCGCCGTGCGCCCCCGGGGCAGGGCCCGCGGTGGCGGTCTCTCAGCCTGTGCTGTGCTTCCCCGCAGCCGAGCTCAACGCCATCAGCGAGAACACGGAGACGCTGCACCTGAGCCCGCACGTCACCACGGAGTACGTGGGCGCGGGCGCGGCGCCGAGGCCGCCCGTGTGCGAGCGCTCCTGCGAGGAGCTGGGCACCATGATCAGCGAGCTCTCGGGCCTGCACGTCCTCGTGAACCAGCTCAACGAGAACCTCAAGAGAGTGGTGGGTGCCGCGGCGGGGCCGGCGTCCTCCCGGGAGCAGGGTCACGACCTCCCGTGGGCGGGGTCCGGGACGCACTGGGGGGCGGGGTCCGGGGACAAACTGGAGGGCGGGGTCCGGGGACACTGGAGGGCGGGGTCTGGGGACGCACTGGGGGGCGGGGTCCGAGGTCCGGGATACACTGGGCAGTGTCTGGAGGTCGCTGCTCCCGGGGGAGGTTGCGCCGGGTTCCGCAGCTACGTGGACTTGGGCAGACGTTAGGGAGTGTCTCGAGCGCAGACACGGGCCTCAGACATGCAGTCTTCAATGTCCATTCTTAATTTTGAGAAATTTATCTTCTTATCCCCCACCCCCCCAAAAAAAAATATATATAGGAAGTGCCTTTATTGAAAGGATTGCATTTTGGAGGAGCAGCCTCAGAGGTCGGCGGGGCACAGCCTGTCCTGGCAGACGGGACGTCCCCGTGAGGCTGGCGTGGTCAGCCCCGCTCGCACCTGCGCAGCCCGTGGGGGAGGGAAGGCGCCCAAGGTGCCTCGCACAGGGCGACGTAAAGTAGGAAAGGGGCCTGCAGGCGGCGAGGTTCTGGCGGCCATGCTGCCCTGAGATGCCCGGCGCCCGAGCCGAGGTGCGGGGTGCGGACTACGAGACACCAAGTAGATGAACCCAGGAGCAGGCAGTGGGGGCGGTGGGGGGGCCTAGTTCCGCCTTTTCCCGTCCTCAGGGGGTGCTGGGAATCTGTGCCCGGGACCTCGAGCCTCCCGCCTTCCCTCTCCACGCGGAAGGGCCCGGGCCTTGTTCTGGTCCGGGTCCAGATGCGGCAGGACCAGCAGTCTCCACTTGTTTGGGGGCAGGTGGAGGGCCCCCAGCAGCAGAGGCAGAGGCCACGGCGCTGGCTCAGGAATCGCCAAGGGGCGTGGGCAGCTTGGAGGAAGGCAGCCGTTCCGCCAGGGCCTTGGCGCTGGGGCAGCTGTCCCATCCCCCCCCCCCACTTCTGCAGAGAGCCAGCTGTTTGCCGGGGGAGGAATGGCGGGGACTGGGTCTGTCACCTGAGCGCCCTGCTGCGGGCAGCCCTGGTGGCAGGAGTCCCCCGATCTGCGAGTGCCTGGGGTGCTTCCTCGCGGGGGCCGAGCCGGACACGTCAGCTGTCACCAGCGTGCGACAGGCATGCATGGTCCCCCCCACTTCCGTGGAGCCCTGGTGGCCCAGGCACGGCGAGGCTGACCCAGGTGCAGAGCTCCGGGTGCAGCTTCCCTCGGGCTCACCGTCGAATCGGGATGGGCTCCCAGGAGCGAGTCTCCAAACTTGGGTCAGGGATTAAATCTGTGAACTCCCAGAGATTGCACCCAAAGCGAGAATGGGTCTGTCTCTGTGTGTTTGAGCACGAGACGGTCCGAGTCGTTCTGACTCTCAAAGGCTCCCAACCTCCAAGGCAGCACCTGGCCCTCGGGGGAAAGGTGCACACGTGATCCTGTCCCAAGAAGACGGCTCAGAACGAGGGAGGGGAAACACGTATTTAGTGAGAGTTGGTGCAGTTTTCATTTATTTGATTTTTCTTAGACTTTACATCTTCTCGTCCAGTCTGTAACCCTCGAGAGCCAGAACCACGCCTGCCCATTTCCTGCCCCTGCCTCAGCAGAGCGGCACTTGTCGTACTGTGTTTCCCCGAAAACAAGACAGGGTCTTACATTTATTTTCCCTCAAGAAGACACACTAGGGCTCATCTTCAGGGAATGTGTTATTTTTTTAAGTATGGTACAACAATCTACATTTATTCAAATACAGTTAACTCGTTTTCTTCTGGAACATCATCATCACTCTCCAAACCCCGAATTCCATCTGAATTTCTTGCGACTCTATTTCCTTTAGAACCACTGGCCCCAATCTCTCATGTCAAGCACTAGAGATCTCGTGGGGCAGATGAGAAGGGCTGCTCGTTTTCTTTCCCGCTCCGCAATGAACGACATGCATGGGTTGTGCAGACGCGCTGCGTAGCCACGCCCGTCACTAGGTCTTATTTTTGGGGTAGGGCTCCTACTGCACAACTGCTTAGAAATCCTGCTGGGGCTTATTTTATCAGGAGGTCTTATTTTTGGGGAAACATGGTATTTGCTGGACGAAGGGAGGGTGAACGCGTTAGTGAGTCCACGATAGTTTTTAGCCATGTGGGCTGCACCTCCCCCCGCCCCTCAGGTGCAGCCTGGCCAGTGCCCAAGGACGCCTGAGCCTGCGTAAGGGGAGGTCTTTCTCACGCGGGTCTGGATACTGTCTACCTTCGCCAGGCCCTGCCGTCCTCACGCAGGGTCTACTGCACACCTGGGGGTTTCTGCCGCTGGAGTTTGGAGCTCTTGCACGTGGGAGGAGCATTGCTCTCCGCCCACAAGCGACGGCCGAGCGCGGGGCCCTCCCGTCTGTGCTCACACGCCGCACTTGCTCTTCCAGTCCAACGACAACCAGTTTCTCTGGGAGCTCGTCGGCGGCCCCCCCAAGACCAGGAACGTGTCTGCTTGCTGGCAGGACGGGCGCTTCTTCGCGGAGAACGAGACCTGGGTGGTGGACAGCTGCACCTCCTGCACCTGCAAGGTGGGAGCCCGGACGGTCCGCGCTCTTGGGAGCAAGAGAGCGCCGCACGCGTGCCCTGAAGGCGCCGTGTCCCACGGGGTGATGTTGGGTGGCCACGCGTAAGACTGCTCGGGTGGGGCGGAATCCCCTGAGCGTGACTGAGTCCACCTCTTTGCACGTAGAGGAGGAGCCAGACCCCGAGGGGAGGGACTGGCCAGCGTTTTGTCCCCAGGCAGTCAGAGACAGACGGGCTAGGGGGCCACCAGGGCTCCTGCTGGTCTCTGACTCACGGGTTCTGGCTCGGCGGGGGCTCCGAGGAGACACTGGGGAGGACAGGTCACCATCAGACACCTTAGGGACAGACGGCTTAGTGTCTTCTCTTTATCCCTCCGTCTGTCCTGCCAGGACATGTGGGCGGCTCTGCCGCGTCCCCCTTGCTGTGGTGGAGGAAGGGAGCAAAACGGTTCAGGAGCCGTCTCAGCCCCAGTGGGAGGAAGAGATGCCTTTACGTCCCCGTCCGGCCACGTCCCACCTGCGGGACAGGCCCGTCCGCGGCAGCCCTCGCCCCAGTAACTGTGAACACTGTGAACGAGTGTCCATGAGTGCCTCTCTTTGCTCATAGAAATTTAAGACCATCTGCCACCAAATCTCCTGCCCGCCCGCGACCTGCGCCAACCCGTCCTTCCTGGAGGGCGAGTGCTGCCCGTCCTGCTTCCACGGTGAGTGCCGCCGGCCGCCGCGTCTCTGCGTGCATGGGGCTTCACTGCCTGTCTGTCCGCCTGCTCCCCTGGCCAGTGGCCAGAGCAGAATTTGAAAGGTCCCAGGGATCCGGAGCCCCGTCCTGCCGAGTGGTGGTCAGAGAGGAGGCCCAGCTGGGGGACCGGGCCCCCAGGGAAGAGCCTGATGCCCTGGCCCAGGGGCGGCCCGGGCGCAAATGCCAACCTCGGGTCTGGGATGCGCTCACTTGTGGCCATCTCGAGACGGCATGGTCGCAGTTGCATGCCTCATGGAAAACAGTGACGGGAAGTGACCGAGAGCCAAAGACCACCCCCAGGGGTGCGCCCTAAGCAGTGGACACATGTCCCAAGGGGCAGAACCGGGGTTCGGGGGGACCACACGCCAACGTGGCTGGGGCGCCCTGCACAGGCAGCGACTCAGGGCAGGTGGAAAGACGCAGCAGCACCAAAGCTGTGTGGGTCTCTGTGCAGCGCCCAGGCCTGTGATTCCTGTTGTCCCCCAGCCGGCCCTGCCTGGCACCCCTGACTCCAAGCGGCCCCCAGTGCCAAGGCCGGTGACGAGACGCTCAGCCCCCACCCCCCTCCGGTCTCTGTGGCCCTGACCTTGGGCCCTCGCCCCTAAGTCAGCGGGGCTCGGCGTCCCCTGGTGTCCCCGCCGGTGTCCCCTGGCCCAGGCACCTGGTGCATGAGGACAGGCAGTGGGTTTGTCTGCAGATGAGCCCAGGCAGAGCTGCTTGGTGATTTTGAACAAAATGTGATTTTTTTTTTCTGAGTTTCTGTTACATTATCTGTAAAATGCAGACAGAATATCCCCAAAACACAAGGCCAGTCTCATGATTAAAATCAAGGGATCAGTGTATGGGAAGGCGTCTGTGGGATGTTCCCAGCGTTGTCTCGCTCGCTGCACGACACAGAGACACGATTCCGATGACGAGAGGCCCAGGTCAGGCCTGAGGAAGGAGTCTAGCGTTACGGGAGCCAAGTGTGCAGGAAAGGCCTCCTGAGGTCTTTTCTCTGCTTTCCGGAGGGTTTGGACGTAGCACACCCACAGGGCGGACCCTTTACCATCCGCTGGGAGAGTTCCGCTCTCAAGTTCAGGGGCTGCAGTTATCTGCAAACAATTTCTTTGCAGGGAATTGCCTTTTAATCTAACTTGTCTCGATTTAAGTTATTTGGAAATAAATAGCTATCATTGAAATGTTTCATTATTTTGTATAACTCAGCAAACAGGCCAAACTGGAAATAAATTCTTAACAACTTTAAGGAACCCCACGGAGGTGTGATTCAGCGCTCTCTTTTGTAAGCTGATTTTTAAAATCTACGAAACGAGTCCCCTGTACACACATGGGTCAAACTGTCCCGACCCTGGGACGGCGGACACAGCCGTGGGGTCCGCCTGTCCCTGGAGGATCCCCCGAGCACCCCTTCGGGGAACAGACCTTTGGTGCTGGAGTCGGGAAGCAGCTGCCCGAGCCCGGACGGCTGAGCCCGACCAGGCCGCTTTGCCCGGCCGTGCGGGGCTGACGGCGCTGCGCTTGCTCCCTCTGGCCAGCGCTGGACGGCGAGGAGGGCTGGTCCCCGTGGGCCGAGTGGACCGAGTGCTCCGTCACGTGTGGCTCGGGGACGCAGCAGCGAGGCCGGTCCTGCGACGTCACCAGCAACACCTGCCTGGGCCCCTCCATCCAGACGCGCGCCTGCAGCCTGGGCAAGTGCGACACCCGCGGTGAGTGCCGGGGGCGGGGGCGGCACCCGGCCACTGGGGGCGCTCCTGGGGGACCCTCGACCTCCTGCAGGGACCCGGCCAGGGAAGGGCGCTCCCCAGCTGCCAGGCTGCTCTCTGGGAAGGTGAACACCTGGCCAGGCCCCGTCCCAGACACCGACCCCTCCGCCTGTCCCCTTAGTGCGGCAGGACGGCGGCTGGAGCCACTGGTCGCCCTGGTCCTCCTGCTCCGCCACCTGTGGCGTCGGCAACATCACGCGCATCCGTCTCTGCAACTCGCCCGTCCCCCAGATGGGGGGCAGGAGCTGCAAAGGGAGCGGCCGCGAGACTAAAGCCTGCCAGGGCGTCCCCTGCCCAGGTAAGTGGGTGGCGCGGGGACCCGGGTGGGTGCTCGGGAGGCTCCCAGTGGGCAGCCGCGGCGAGGACGGGGCCTGGGTCTGCCCATCCCGGTGGCAGGGGGGCCGCCGTGCCCGGGCCTGGCTCTTTCCTGGAACCCCCACTTTGGGGTTAACGCCGCTCGCCTGTGCTCAGCACGACGCCGTCCGAGCTCTCCCGACTCCACGTGTGTTCAGCGCAGGCCGCGTGTCGGTACCGCCGTCTTCCGTCGGGGGCACGAAGAGCTGCAGGGCCGTCTCGGGGGCGTGGGGGCCGGTAGCTGCCTCCTTGGGCCTGGGCGGGCTGGCCGCGGAGGTGGCGGGGCGCACGGCGCGCAAAGCCCAGAGGTTGCCAGGGAGGGCCGTGGTGCGCGCTGCCGGCGGGAAAGGGAGAAGGCCGCAATGGCGCTGGCAGCCGAGCTCTCCGCACGGTTCGTGCAATTGGCCACGTACAGTCCAGCCTCACGCAGCGCCCAGGTCCCCTTCCTCGACCGCACCTGGGCGAGAGCTCTGGGCTCCCAGGTCCGCGGGAGGCGTGATCCTCTTCCGGGGGCAAAGTGCAGGTGCAGGCAGCCTGGAAGATCCTCTTCCGGGGGCAAAGTGCAGGGAGCCTGGAAGATCCTCTTCCGGGGGCAAAGTGCAGGTGCAGGGAGCCTGGAAGATCCTCTTCCGAGGGCAAAGTGCAGGGAGCCTGGAAGATCCTCTTCCGGGGGCAAAGTGCAGGTGCAGGGAGCCTGGAAGATCCTCTTCCGGGGGCAAAGTGCAGGGAGCCTGGAAGATCCTCTTCCGGGGGCAAAGTGCAGGTGCAGGGAGCCCGGAAGATCCTCTTCCGGGGGCAAAGTGCAGCGGCAGGGCGTGAGGACTCAGCGCCTGCAGGCTCCGGCCGCCGCTCAGTCCCGGCAGAGAGAGCCGGGATTTATGTGCCACGTGGGGAGCAGCCGGCTCCTCCGCCCCCCCAGCCAGCGAGGCGGCGCGTCCCGCCCGCGCCTCCTCCTCTGAGCGCCCGCCCGGCTCTGCCCGCAGTGGACGGCCGCTGGAGCCCCTGGTCGCCGTGGTCGGCCTGCAGCGTCACCTGCGCCGGCGGCATCCGCGAGCGCGCGCGCGTCTGCAACAGCCCCGAGCCGCAGCACGGCGGCAAGGCCTGCGTGGGCGACGTCGTGGAGCGCCAGATGTGCAACCGGCGCAGCTGCCCCGTAGGTGGGTGTGCGCGGCGCCGCGGCCGGCCGGGAGACGGGGGTGCTGCGTGTCGTGGAAAGCGCAGGGGGTGTCGGGAAGCACGCGGAAAACTCGGAAAAGGAAGATCAGCCATGGCCGGGCGCGGTGGCTCGCGCCTGTCATCCCAGCGCTCGGGGAGGCCGAGGCGGGCGCACTGCTCAGGGTCAGGAGTTTGAGACCAGCCTGAGCAAGAGCCAGACCCTGTCTCTACTATAACTAGAAATTAATTGGCCAACTAATATATATAGGAAAAGTTAGCCGGGCGTGGTGGCGCATGCCTGTAGTCCCAACTACTCGGGAGGCTGAGGCAGGAGGATTGTTTGAGCCCTGGAGTTGGAGGCTGCTGTGAGCTAGGCTGATGCCGGGGCACTCTAGCCCAGGTGACACAGTGAGACTCTGTCTCTAAAAAAAAACAAAAAAGAAGGAAGATCAGCCATCCCCGTGCCCCGTAGAGACGGTGCTCTAGCAGCTGTGTTGCGTGTCCTGGCATTTCCACGTAAGGACAGGGAGGCCGTGCAGGGAGGGTGCCGAGAGTCACTGGGGTGTCGGCTCGCGCTGTCCTGACCCCATGCGCCCTCGGAGACGGGGTCGTGGTGCCCGCCCAGCACCGCGCGTGGCCGTCACCGGGATACTCCGCGCTGCGCAGTTTAGGCAGCCAGAGGGGCGCGGGGCCGCGCGGGTCGCTGGGCAGGCGGAGTCTGCACGTGGGGCTCACTGTCCCCTCCCGCGCAGACGGGTGTCTGTCCAACCCCTGCTTCCCCGGCGCCCAGTGCAGCAGCTTCCCCGACGGGTCCTGGTCCTGCGGCTCCTGTCCCTCGGGCTTCCTGGGCAACGGCACGCACTGCGAGGACCTGGACGAGGTGGGTGTCCCGGCCGGGGGCGGGGCCGCGTGGAGGGGGGGCGGCGGCTCACCTGTGTGTGCCTGTCCCCCCAGTGCGCCCTGGTCCCCGACGTCTGCTTCTCCACCGGCAAGGCGCCCCGCTGCGTCAACACCCAGCCCGGCTTCCACTGCCTGCCCTGCCCCCCGCGCTACCGTGGCAACCAGCCCGTAGCGGTCGGCCTGGACGCGGCCAGGACGGAGAAGCAGGTGCGTGAGGCCGTCCCTCCCGCGCGTCCTAGAAGGCTTTGAACAGACCGGGCGGGAACAGGAGAGTGGAAAAGGCGGGAGGGAGGAAGGGGCTCGTCTGGGGGAAGCTGGGGCCCCCTTGGCGGGGGGAGCTTGGATCTACCAGCCTCAGGGGGAGCGGCTTCATGTGCCACCTCCTTGAGTGGTGACCCGCGGCGGCTCGGAGAGGACGTTTGCGTGGCTGGTGGATCGGGCCTCGGAATCTCATCCGGAAAGAGCAGAGTTCCGGGCTGTTCCTGGGCTCCTGCTCAGGCGGCCCCACCCCCGGGTCCGAGCACGCCTGCCCAACGCCTGTCCTGACCGTCCGTCCCCAGGTGTGCGAGCCCGAGAACCCCTGCAAGGACCGGACGCACCGCTGCCACCGGCACGCCGAGTGCATCTACCTGGGCCACTTCAGCGACCCCATGTACAAATGCGAGTGCCAGACGGGCTACGCGGGCGACGGGCTCATCTGCGGGGAGGACTCGGACTTGGACGGCTGGCCCAACCTCAGCCTGGTCTGCGCCACCAACGCCTCCTACCACTGCGTCAAGGTGCGGCGGGCGGGGCGGGGCTGCCACCAACGCCACCTGCCACTGCGCCAAGGTGCGGCGGGGCGGGGCGGGGCTGCCACCAACGCCACCTGCCACTGCGCCAAGGTGTGGCGGGCGGGCACGGGGCTGGGGGGGCTCCACGCCAGGTCGGTGGGGCCAGGGCTGCCGGGGAGCATCTCCAGGCCGTGACCTCCGTGCCCCCCTCCCAGGGGTCACTGTGAGGGGCCGCCCTGCTCTCCCGCGGCGGCGGGCTCCCCTGACAGCTGTCCCAAGCACTCCGCAGGGAGGTGGGGGGGGCGGGGCGCAAGCCGTCTTTGGGCCATGTAGAAAGGAACAGTCAACGCGTTCTTCACAGAGACACGCGTGCTACGGCACACGGGGCGATTAGACCTGGGGGGACAGGCCGCTTCCTTGGCCACCGTAACGGACACCCACAGAGCGTGGCCTCCATACGGCATTTGCTCTCCCACAGCTCTGCAGGCTACAAGAGGCCTCGGCCTACGCATGCCTGTCCCTGTCCCCAGACTCCCTCTACCTTTGCCTGTCCCTGTCCCCAGACTCCCTCTGTGTCTGCCTGTCCCTGTCCCCAGACTCCCTCTGTGTCTGCCTGTCCCTGTCCCCAGACTCCCTCTGGGTCTGCCTGTCCCTGTCCCCAGACTCCCTCTGCCTGTGTCTGCCTGTCCCTGTCCCCAGACTCCCTCTGTGTCTGCCTGTCCCTGTCCCCAGACTCCCTCTGTGCCTGCCTGTCCCTGTCCCCAGACTCCCTCTGTGCCTGCCTGTCCCTGTCCCCAGACTCCCTCTGTGTCTGCCTGTCCCTGTCCCCAGACTCCCTCTGTGTCTGCCTGTCCCTGTCCCCAGACTCCCTCTGTGTCTGCCTGTCCCTGTCCCCAGGCTCCCTCTGCCTGTGTCTGCCTGTCCCTGTCCCCAGGCTCCCTCTGCCTGTGTCTGCCTGTCCCTGTCCTCAGACTCCCTCTGTGTCTGCCTGTCCCTGTACCGACTCCCTCTGGGTCTGCCTATCCCTGTCCCCAGACTCCCTCTGGGTCTACCTGTCCCTGTCCCCAGGCTCCCTCTACCTGTGTGTGCCTGTCCCTGTCCTCAGACTCCCTCTGTGTCTGCCTGTCCCTGTCCCCAGACTCCCTCTGCCTGTGTCTGCCTGTCTCTGTCCCCAGACTCCCTCTGGGTCTGCCTGTCCCTGTCCTCAGACTCCCTCTGGGTCTGCCTGTCCCTGTCCCCAGACTCCCTCTGGGTCTGCCTGTCCCTGTCCCCAGACTCCCTCTGGGTCTACCTGTCCCTGTCCCCAGGCTCCCTCTGCCTGTGTCTGCCTGTCCCTGTCCCCAGGCTCCCTCTGCCTGTGTCTGCCTGTCCCTGTCCCCAGACTCCCTCTGTGTCTGCCTGTCCCTGTCCCCAGGCTCCTTCTGCCTGTGTCTGCCTGTCCCTGTCCCCAGACTCCCTCTGTGCCTGCCTGTCCCTGTCCCCAGACTCCCTCTGGGTCTGCCTGTCCCTGTCCCCAGACTCCCTCTGGGTCTGCCTGTCCCTGTCCCCAGACTTCCTCTGTGTCTGCCTGTCCTTGTCCCCAGACTCCCTCTGTGTCTGCTTGTCCCTGTCCCCAGACTCCCTCTGTGTCTGCCTGTCCCTGTCCCCAGACTCCCTCTGTGTCTGCCTGTCCCTGTCCCCAGACTCCCTCTGGGTCTGCCTGTCCCTGTCCCCAGACTCCCTCTGCCTGTGTCTGCCTGTCCCTGTCCCCAGACTCCCTCTGGGTCTGCCTGTCCCTGTCCCCAGACTCCCTCTGTGTCTGCCTGTCCCTGTCCCCAGACTCCCTCTGTGCCTGCCTGTCCCTGTCCCCAGACTCCCTCTGTGCCTGCCTGTCCCTGTCCCCAGACTCCCTCTGTGTCTGCCTGTCCCTGTCCCCAGACTCCCTCTGTGTCTGCCTGTCTCTGTCCCCAGACTCCCTTGCCCGTTCCCCTGCGGGAGGCATTGGCTGTGCTCAGGGTCCACAGGGACAGTCCAGGATGAGTATCCCTCCAGCACCCTTCACCTAATGGTGTCTCTTACCACGTGATGTGGCAACTGCAGGCTACAGAGAGTAGGGCCTGCACATGTGTTTTGGGGACCACAGCCCCACAATGGTCTCGTGTAGCTTATGCCTTAAGAAGGTCAGAAGTGTCAGTGCTGCAAACACAGAAAATCATTTGAAAACATTAATGTATTCATTTAATCCTTAATCATTGTGAATTTTATGTAAGTTTTGTGTTTAATTTTCTCTTCCAGTCTTGATTAAAAATGGCAAATATTGACTGAAACGAGAAACGGCCAGTGAGGGGGGTGCAGAGTCCACCCTGCGCTTCCTCCTGTCCCCACCCCGCGCTCCAGGGAACAGGGCAGGTGCAGCAGCCCAGGGTGTTATTATCTGTGTGTATGTGAAATTTCGGAGAGGAATCTAATATCTTTCGGGATGAGTCCCGTGCAGTCTCTGATGACAAGTCCGCGTGGCCTGCGTGGAGCCACTGTGCACGTGTGACCGCAGCCCTGCCCTGCTGTCCCCGCTGCTGGCGTCAGTATCTGCACTGCACAGCCACTAGTCGCGGCACAGCTGGGTGGAAACAAAGTCCCTCCTGTGGCCGTATCCTGCGGAGACCGGAATTAGCAGGTCATGTGCAGTTCCGAGCGCTGGTTTCTGAGCAGATCATGGATGCCCTCAAAGGACCCCTCTCCTGAAGCATTTTGGCCAGCGAGGGTCCAAAGGTTTTGGCCGTGCGATGTATGAGTTGGTGTCCGTGGGGAGAAGGGACGTGGGGCCTGTGTTGCCGTACGTATCACGGCGCAGGACGTCCGCGCTCTGCTCTGGCTCCTGCGGTCGTTTGGCAGCTCCCCGGCTCAGGGCCGGAGCACAGGTTCTTTGTCTCACACACCGGACGTGGTGACGTCCCTTCCAGGGCAGGACTCGAGCCTCTGACCACCCAGCCAGGGTGGAGGTCAGCACCGCGTCCTCACGCCGTGCTCGCCATCGTGTCGCTCCGATGTCTCTGAAAGCAGAGGCCTCTCCGGAGTGACTTCGTGATTGTCGTCCTCTCTCCGGCCGCAGGACAACTGCCCCCACCTGCCGAATTCGGGGCAGGAAGACTTCGACAAGGACGGAATCGGCGACGCCTGTGATGACGACGATGACAACGACGGCGTGACCGACGAGAAGGTAGGACAGCGGCTCACGCCAGTGCCACTCCCGGGTTCCGTGTGGAGAGCCTGGGAGGGGACGCTGCACTGTGACAGGCAGTCTGCACGCATGACGCCTCGGCCGAGGCGGGTTCCGTGTGCAACTCCCCGAAGTCTCTAGCGTGGCCGGCCGTGTGCAGAGGCTGAGGGACGAGGCGCCATCTGCCACCGAGCTCCACTGGGCGTACGCTCAGCAGTTTCGTTTGCTCTTAGCCGCAGAAGGGGCTCCTCCGCCCCTCGCCCGGGGGTAGAGCCTGCGACCAGGAAACTGACTCCGAGATGAGCCACATTCCTGCCTTTGCGGCGATATTTAAAACATTGCACTTCCCCGAGACAGTTGCTGCTAACGCACATGACTTAATGCGTTGGTGGAAAAACAGCGTTGCAGGAGTAGGTCGCCCGGTTTCACTCTCCGCCTCCGCTCCCCTGGCCTCAGCCGCCCGACTCCCTCGCTGGTCTCTGCACTCGCTCGACAGCTAAATGTGCGGAGATGGTGGGGAGACAGACGCAGGAAGGGCTGAAAGTGTGTGACGCTGAGAAAGTGCCTGGCTGGGGCGAAGGGGCTTTCCCAAATCTCCGGGCTGCTTCCATCTGGTCTGGGGGCGGCTGTCGGCGCTGTTGCCGTGGAGGCCGTTGCCGTGGAGACCGCCCCAGCTTGTCCCTCTGACCCCGCCCTTTGCCCTAGGACAACTGCCAGCTGCTCTTCAACCCGCGCCAGTCGGACTACGACAAGGACGAGGTGGGGGACCGCTGCGACAACTGCCCCTACGTGCACAACCCCGCCCAGATCGACACCAACGGCGACGGCGAGGGCGACGCCTGCTCCGTGGACATCGACGGCGACGGTCAGTCGCACTGGGCGGGCGCCACGTTCTCTCCCGGGCTCTCCGCTGGGCTCAGTTCCTCGACCTCACACGAGGCGAAGCGTTTCGGCCAGCTTCCTTCCGGGAGTCTGTCGTCGTCGGCTCTGTGGTTCCCTGTCGGTCATGGCCTAGGGTCGGCCCCTCGGGGCACCGTGCGTTTGGGGCACCCGTCTCTGCCCCAGCCGCGGAGCCCCGCGCCCTTCCGGTGCTTTCTGTGGCATTTCCTCCAATGCGCACCCTTTGCCCCAAACTCGGAGAAGCGGTGCCCGTCACGCTGCCTCTCCGAGCCGCAGGTCTGTCCCAGCCTCTGCAGGGACATGTGCCTCGTGCTCCGGTCATTCCTCGCGGCCCCCTCACGGGGCCGGTCCCGTCAGTCGGGACACTGCAGCCCCACCTGGGGACCGCGACACCGCTCTGCGCGGCACTGTGCCCGGGGGTGCCGGTGGCCTTGGCGAACGAGCCCTGTGGTTCACAGTGTCACCGTCTCTGCCGGGTCCTTCTTGGGGTGTCTGGGGACCAGGGCACATTCCACACGTCCAGGCTCCAGCCCGACACCCTTAGTTTTTGGGGACCTTCCTCTCACCCTGAACCCCGAGTGTGACCCCCACACCCCCAGCCTCCACTGGCCGGGGCAGGGCCGTGTCCTGCCAGGTGACGCTCTGCTCTGTCACCGAGGCTTGTCGCTGATGGCGTTATTTAGGCCACTGCTAACTCGAGCTTCCTCGTAACTCCAGTATCCAGTATCCAGTTCTACGTTCAGATTTCTCCAAATAAGATATTTCACCCAAACCCCGTCTGTCGCGGCCACTGCTGTTTCTCTGACGTCGCTCGCCGGGTCCGGTCAGGCCCGTTCTGGCGATGCTCGGGTCTGCATGACGGCCGGCCCGCATTCTGGGCGCTCACTGCGGCCGCTCACTGCGGCCGCTCACTGCGGGCACCACCGTCACTCCAGGGCCGGTTCTATTTCATCTCAGGAACCTGCATTTTGATGGGAAATGTGTCATTTATGCACCCACGGTCCGATCGTCTTCACGCTTCACCACATCTTAGTTTTAAGGTCAATCCGCGCCACTGTGATTGGCCGCGAGCTGTGGGTGGGTGGGAGAGCGTGGGCCCCTCCTGGCTCAGGCGCCCTCTTTCCCCCACCCACAGACGTCTTCAACGACCGGGACAACTGCCCTACGTCTACAACACGGACCAGAGGACACGGACGGCGACGCGTGGGGACCACTGCGACAACTGCCCGCTGGTGCCAACCCGACCGAGTGAGCCCCCTCTGCGTCCTGCGGCTGCGCGCGCCGGCTCGCGGCCCGAGTTTCCAGCGTTTCCGCCGAAAACAGTGCTGCGCTCAGACCCCGGCGCCGGTCGTGTCCGGCGCCGGCGGGTCTCGCACTCTGTCCGCGTCCGCAGCAGACGGCCGCTCCCCGCGCGGTTCTGTGGGAGGCGGGGCGGGAGGCAGGGACGCGGCGTGGAGCACGGGCGGACGGTGTGAAGAGACGTGAGGATGAGCGGCGGCGCCCTTCCCGGTGTCCTGCCACTCCCTCCCCGCCGACGCCTGGCCGCCATGCGCCGCTGGGGTTCATGCGGCGTCCACGGCCCACCGTCAGCGTCCTGAGTGCCTCCTCCCGCCGCAGACGGACGGGACAACGACCTATGTGGGACCCAGTGCGACAACAACGAGGACATCGACGACGACGGCCACCAGAACAACCAGGACAACTGCCCCTACATCTCCAACGAACCAGGCCGACCACGACGGCGACGGCAAGGGCGACGCCTGCGACCCCGACGACGACAACGACGGCGTCCCCGACGACAGGGACAACTGCCGGCTGGTCTTCAACCCCGACCAGGAGGACTCGGACGGTGGGTGCCCGCCGCTTCTCGGGCACGTCACCGCGTTCTCCTGGCGGGGACAAGTCCGGGCGCTGGGCGTCCTGGGGGTCGGGTCCTTGGGAGGAAGCTTCTTTTGACGAGTGACACAGGGAGGGCGAGTCGCGGGGGGGGGCGCGGGCGGCGTGATGGTGCTGCGGTGAGGGGGCGGACCGCGTGCGGGGACTACGGAGGGGGGGAGTCGCGTGCGGGAGACTCGCGGAGGCGGGCGGGGCGTGCGGGTCGATCGCGGAGGGCCGGGAGCGCGTCGAGTGACTGCGGGAGTGGCGGCGGGACCGCGTGCGGTGACTGCGGGGAGGGCCGGAGCCGCGTGCGGTGAACTGCCGGAGGGCGGACGCGCGTGCGGTGACTACGGAGGCGGGGACCGTCGGGTGACTGCGGCGGAGGCGGGGGCGCGTGCGGTGACTGCGAGGGGGGGGATGCGTGCATGGGCAAGCAAGCAAAAGCAGCCGAGGTGGCGTTGCGGGGGAGGGCTGCTCTACCCACATCGGCTCGCGAGCGTGCGGCACTAGAGAGTGACCGCGGGAGCAGGCCGTCCTGCCGCTCGAGTTCGCGTGGCGTGTGCGTGGGCGGTCCGCGCAGCTGTGTCTGGCTGCGGCCAGGGCCGTGCGAAGGTGGCCCTGGAGACAGTCCTGAACCGCGGTGCGTCCCCGCACCAGTCCCGCTCCTCCGCCCTGCCTGGGAACTCGCGGAGAAGCCCGCTGGGCAGCCCTGAACCAAGTTCGGCGCGTCTCCCGCAAAGCCATTTTTGGGGTCAGTCCTGTAAAGCGAGTGGACGCAGGGAGCAGGGCTAGCGACTGCGGGAATTCCCAAGAACCCTTGGGGAAGAGCCCCAGGTTCACCCGACATTCCTCCGGCGCGCTCCGAGTCCCGCCGGTGTCGATCGAGGCCGGTGGCCTCTGGCGGACGGCGCTGGTCTGGCCCCGGCTGCAGCGTCATCCTGGGAATGCGAAGCGGGAGACGCCCACGGCCACCCGGTTGCCGGAGCGGGCAGAGCGTTCTCGCGCGCGCGCTGGGCCCACCCAAAGCGCGCGAGTCTCGGGTTTCGGGAGCGGTGGTTCGCTTTCCCTCCCCAAACGCAGGCGGAGAAGCAGCGTCTTCGCCCTCCAGTTGCTATGTCTGTTCTTTGTGACGGTTGACGGAGGGGGACATTGCAAGAACGACTCTTGACAACCGACAACGTCCGCGGATTTGACACGTGTGCCCGCCGAGAAACAACGCCATCAGCGAGACGGACTTCAGGAAACTTCCAGATGGTCCCCCTGGACCATCAAAGGGGACCACCAGATCGAACCCACGTGGGTCATCCCGCCACCCAAGGGAAGAGCTGGTGCAGACGGCCCAATCCGACCACCGCATCGCTTGTGGGTGAGCTTGGGGCGGCCGCCACTTGCCCTGCCATTGTTCGCTTAGTGGGGATTGGGTTCACAGAGGTCCGCGGCTGCTCTCCAAGTAAGCCAGGTGGCGTGGGGGCGGCATCCCAAAATCTCCGCGCAAACTGTCTACACTCACCCTCAACGAATCCCACCTCTCCGCCAAGGTCGAGTTCCAGTTAAAGCTTATTTTTGAGCACAGTCTCCTTGTATGCCCCGGTAGATGCCGAGGAGTCAGCTAGCTCATAGCACCTCCCAGACCCGCGGACCCAAGCCGATCCTCCCTGGCTCAGCCTTCCCAAGGTAGCTGGACCTATAGCCATTGGGCCACCCCATGCCTGCCTACAAGTTTTTTTCTCCTATATATTTTTAGTTGCGCCATTAATGGCTTCTATTTTAGTAGAGACAGGAGTTCTTGCCTCTGCTTCAGGGATCGGTTTCGAACTCCCTGACCTTGAGCGCTGCCCACCGTCGGCCTCCCCAGAGTGCTATGGATTACAGGCTGACCACCCGCCCCCGGCCCCCCAACGTAAATGTTCTTACTTCGTGGACTTTGTTCTGGAGCTCGACTTGATGCAGTAAGAACTTGGTGCTGGCTCCAGACAACCCCCACATGTCACTGCTCGCTGGGAAAGACCCGGCTGGCTGTAGGGGCCCTGCCCCACACCTGCTGTCGAGGCGTCCCCACCCAGGTGTCCCTGACGCAGAGCTGTGGCTCCCGCCCAGGTTTCGATGAGTTCGGGTCTGTGGACTTCAGCGGCACCTTCTACGTGAACACCGACCGCGACGACGACTACGCCGGCTTCGTGTTCGGCTACCAGTCCAGCAGCCGCTTCTACGTGGTCATGTGGAAACAGGTCACGCAGACCTACTGGGAGGACCAGCCCACGCGGGCCTACGGCTACTCCGGCGTGTCCCTCAAGGTGGTCAACTCCACCACGGGCACCGGCGAGCACCTGCGGAACGCGCTGTGGCACACGGGCAACACGGAGGGGCAGGTGAGGGCGCTGTGGCTGCCGCACGCTCCGAGCTTGCCTGGCGGTGAGTCGGGGCGCAGGCCCGGGCGCTCCACGGATCCCCTGCTTCCGTTCCCGTGGTTTCAGCTCTAGCCGCAATCGTCTTAATCTTGCCGCCAGCGCCTGCTTTGTCGTGGGCGTCCTGCCCGGCACCCTCACGCACACGCCGTGAACCCTCTTGCAGATTTAAATTATTTCCATCCTTTCCAGAGACGGTCAGACCCGAGTGTTGGCGGGTTGAGGGTTTTGCTCGGGGTGTCCTGTCCAGGCAGCAGAAGTCCCAGGAGTGGGTCGGGGTCTCTGGGGGGCTGCGGGGCCCTGTGGTCTGACCACACTGCTCCTCACGCGGGCCCTGGTCCACGCCAGAGCTGTCCGCTGCGCGACGTCAGGGCAGACGGGGGACAGGAGCCTCACGGAGCGATTGCAAAGCCGTGCTTGTTCCCTCCCTGCGCTGTGAGCGGCGGTCGGGGCTCCCGTGCCGACTGCACTCAAGGCAGGTGTGCTCCCCAGGTGCGGACCTTGTGGCACGACCCCAAGAACATCGGCTGGAAGGACTACACGGCCTACCGGTGGCACCTGACCCACAGGCCCAGGACGGGCTACATCAGGTGAGGCCATTTGCGCCGGTGCATCTCTGCTCCCGGACCCCAAGGTGGGAGTTTGAGCAGAGGGTCAGACAGCCTCCTCGAATCTGACTTCTGTCTTTACGTATCTCCTGCTTCCTTCCTGCGTCTCCACTGTGTGTTACTTATTTAATAAAAGAAAGTCAAAAGGAAGAAGATAGGATTTGTCAAAATAACTTGGAGGAGGATGAACATCTTTTCTCCTGGTGAATAATGCCCCGGGCGTGGGAGAGAAATAGCTGCGTCTTTGCAAGATTAGCATGCGCCTTTGCAAGATTAGCATGCGTCTTTGCAAGATTAGCATGCGTCTTTGCAAGATTAGCATGGGCCTCATTTGGAGAATGCAGTCATACGTATTTTCCATGTTGTAATTGGCTGAACTTGACACTTATATTTGAGTAAAACTTTTGCAAATATCAGTCCAACAGAATTCTGTGCCCTTGGCATAGCAATTAAGGAATTTCTCTTGAGGAGGAGAAATTAACGAGAACCAAGATCTGTGCCCAGCAGCAGTGAGCAGAGCCGTGCAGGGCCGCGCCGGCGGGTGGCCGGGGTGTGACAGTCCACGGGACAGATTTCTGTCCTCTCACAGATGCTTCAGTGCGCCCGGAGCTCCTGCCTGGGGCGTGGGGGGCGGAGCTGCCCCGGTGCTGATGTGGCTTCCGTGGGGGCGGGGGGGAACTCAGCGCTGGTTCCTGGGAAATGGAAGGGGCGTCTCACTCCCCCAGAGGGTGACAAGGACATGCCCCTCTCGCCGCCAAGCGGCTCTTTGGCTCCCAAAGTGGAGGCTGTGCCGGACCCCTTGCCTGGGTGACCGCACAAGCGACGAGGAGGAGTGATTCGGGCCGGGGGTGGGGCGTGACCGGTGGCCGGAGCGTGTGTGGAGATGCAGGTGCTGCCCCTGGGCTGCGCGGAGGCTGGGCGGAGGCTCAGGCGTCCACCGCCGGTGGCTGGAGCTGACCTCCGGCCCCTGCTGAGCCGCATCTCAGAGCTCACGTGTGCTTCCTCTCCCCTTTTTGAAAACCACGTCTAGGGTCCTGGTGCACGAGGGGAAGCAGGTCATGGCGGACTCGGGGCCCGTCTATGACCAGACCTACGCCGGCGGGCGGCTGGGCCTGTTCGTCTTCTCCCAGGAGATGGTCTACTTCTCCGACCTCAAGTACGAGTGCAGAGGTGAGCGTGAGCCCGGTGCGTGGGTGGGGGCCGCGTACACAGGTGGGGGGGAGCGCGCCTTCCACTTTCCTGTCACGGCAGCTGCGTATCCTGCCGGTGACCTGCAGCGCGACCCACCCGTCAAGGTGCCTGCTTGTGCCCAGCAGATGCTCTCTGGGTCAGCCGGGTTGTTTCTCTGAGCCTTAATTTGCACTTGGATGCCTTTGGTGGGACAGGACTTTCTGATCATTCCGAGGGTCCATGGACCCCCACTGTCCCACCCCCTGCAGCTTCCTGCGTCGTCCATGCCTCCCGGGCTCCTCTAGGCGTTTCAG